TCCTCCACCTTGTTGCATAACCATAGTTCAAGTTCAGTTGAGATTCATTGCTTGCAAACACATGCCTAGCATAAAGTTCAGCGTCTTATTGTCCAGATAAGTTCAGTGGCCTCTTGGGGAGACCTTCTATGGTCTGAAGATAGGTCTAACAGAGTAAAGATCCGGTCAGTTAAAAGCCCCAACAAGGCATCAGTATCAATATACAACATTATGGAATTAATTGACATAGTAATGGGTAAACAATATGTTAAAAATAATGCAAGTTCCATTCTTCGAAACATCTGGGTTGAGACAGTATCAATGACAGGTTCAAAAAATAACAAACAACCAAACAAAAAATTACAGGTTAAATCAAGGCAAACATGTGGTATCTATGGAAATCAGTCTGGAGAACACTCAAACAACTCAAAATCTGCATACCATATGACCCAGCAATAGCACTCCTAGGAATATATCCAAAACACCTGTTTTACGACAAACCAACATGCATCCCTATGTTCATTGCAGCACAATCAGTAATTGCAAAAACATGGAAGCAACCGAAATGCCCATCAGCAGAAGATTGGATAAGAAAGCTTTGGTTCATCTACTCCATGGAATACTATTCAGCTATTAAAAAAAACAAAATGCAGTTCTTTGTGGCTAAATGGGCACAACTGGAAACCATGATATAGAATCTTTTCATGCCCAGTCTTGGAATTGATATGTCCCTACTCTTTTAATTTTTTTTAAAGATTTATTTATTTTTATTGGAAAGGCAGATCAGATTGATGGAGAGAAGGAGAAGCAGGAATATCTTCCACCTGCTGGTTCACTCCCCAAATGGCCACAATGGCCAGAGCTAAGCCAATCCAAAGCTAGGAGTCAAGAGTTTCTTCTGGGTCTCCCACATGTATGCAGGGTCCCAAGGCTTTGGGCCATCCTGCACTGCTTTCCCAGCCCATAAGAAGATAGCTGGATGGCGAGTGGAGCAGTCAGGCCATGAACTGGTACCCACATGGGATGGCAAGGATTTTGTTATTGAGCCATCATGCCAGGCCCCATGCCACCACTCTTGCTGGCTTTTCTTTGTGAACATCAGGGCAAAATTTGTAACTTACATTCACAGCTACATTTCTTGCAAGAACCAAACATGAGAGCATCACTGTTCTCACAGGCATGGATAAGCAAAACGGGGTCTATTCAATATAAGGAAATACTACATAGTCACCAAGAGGAAGGAAATTCTGAAGTATATTGAAACAAGGATAAATCATGAGGAACTTATGGTAAGTGAAGGACAAGGGCCGTGTGAGTAGTGTACAACTGTCCTGATGTGAATTAGAGCTAACCTGTTAATACAGGTAGAAAGTAGAATGATGGTTGCCAAGAGCTGCGCAGAGCTTACAAAGCTTTTTAATTGGAACAGGATTTGAGATCTGTACAATGAAGAAGTCTCAGAGACTGGTTGTACAATCACGCAAATTACACAGTGGTGAGGACCATCTTCACGTCATGTGCATTTTGCTACATGCACAAATGAGCAAGTGTCAAGGTCCAGTCTAGGTTCGAAAGGACAGGACTAAACCAGAGTCTGACTCCCAAGGGGCTACATTAGGCCAAATTACCATGGCCCCCTGAGTGCTGGCCAGCAAGCAAGAGTCTGGCAGCACCTGATAACTCACAGAGACCTCACCCACCCCACCGCACTGCAGAGTTCCTGATCAATGGAAAACCCATCCGAAACCTGCCTTCACAGCTCCTACTTCTGGTATTATCTTACAAACAGTTTATGCTTCTAATCAAAATTCAATTCCACCGCAGCATTTGTGGTCTCTGATACGTGCCATCAAGGAATACAAAGATGCAATAATGACTACCTTAAAAGGATCTCATCCCTTCTCCTCAGATGGTGTTACTGGTTTTAATAACCAAGACTATGGAGGGGCCTCAGTCCTCAATGAAGGGGAGGAAGAAACGAGAAGCTAATATCCTCAAGTAGAGAATCCACTTTTGCACACCGTAATTAGAAAAGAAGTACCTCAAACACCATCCTTTCTGTGCTGGGACCAGCTTTCTGCACTTCATCAGATTAAATATTACACAATAAAATTTTCCTTTTCCCACACTAATGGAGTGCAAACATGTACTTGTCACGAGCTGGGGACACAGCCTCTGCAGACAGGACATACTGTGACTTGCTGAGCTCCTGGCCTGAGTTGCTGAGCAGAACTCAGGGTGCAGCATAATGCCTGATCCATACACATTCACCCTCTCTAAGATGACAGTGGCGAACTCCACGTGGCAACCTTCTGACTACTCAAGATGCCTCTCTGAAAGACACTGCCTGGAGCTCCCTCTCTCAAACCCCAGGGCAGGTTGCTTTTCCCCTTCAGCACCGCTGCACTGTCTATAAACAGAAAATTCAGCAAGCATCCTGCATTTAGAGAATCTGCGGTATGAGGCAAGCATGCCCTTAAATACAAAGGTCACATCCAGAGCACAGAGATGCTCTCATCCCACAAGGGATGCAGCATCTCACCAGCCCTAGGAGCTGCAGATCCTCAACACCCAGTAGATATGCACTTGGCAATGTGCTCCCATTCAGGAACTGGCAGAAACCTCCCCCTATCTAGACAGTAATTATATTTATTAATCACAATAGATTGTAGTTACTTCCGCTCACATAATGTAAACACATAATTGGCATTAACACCAGGTAGGGTGTAAGTTAGACTCAATGTGACAATACCATACAAAGAAAATATTTTCTGTTTTATCAGCATGTGCTGGCCCCTGAGATATTATGGGAATTGAAAGACAAAACACCACACTTTCCTCTCTTAGCTGGCTAACTGTGGCGGCACCTGCTTGGGACCAGTGTCATACTGATAGCAACGGACAGGTGTTTGATGGCACTGATGGGGTTTGATGGCACAGCCAGCTGTGACTTGCTTTCCGGAAGCATTTCCACATGGTTTACTTCCTAAAGTGATGTCCTATGAGTATGCAAGGTGCAAAGCTGAGATTTCAAGGAGGATGCTTGCCAAGAGGTGGGCTTCAATAACAACGGCCCCACCAGTCTGTTCTATGAACCTCCAGCTCAGCGGAATGGAATACAGAATGACAGAAAGAAGCAGCCAGCTACTGAGACAACCATTCCTCCTAGGGACTCTTCTTTGCCAATCACCTTGGAACACCTTGAATAAATGTAGGACACGTTAACACATAACAATTGATATTTATGGAGGATTTCCCTCAACGCCACATCCCCAATCCAGGCTAGCTGTTTCCTGACAGTAGGATTACTATTTCACCCTTGGTTTCTTTCACTGGCTGCATACTGGTGTTATGCTTTGGTTTCTAAATATCTGACTTTGCATACAGGCTAGCGACATCACCTTTCACTCAATTATAATTTTGCAAATTCATCTGTGTAGCACAGGGGTCTCAGATTTTAAAGTGTAATAGGATCACTTGGGGGTGGGGGTCTCCAAAATAACAGAGACTCCTGGGTCACCACGGGGGCTGATTCCATTTTTCTGCGATGGGGCCTGAACATTCATGTTTCCAAACAGCTTCCAGGTGATGCTGATGGTCTACGGATGACACTGTGAAGAACACTGGGCAAGAGAAAGCTAAAGGGGACTGTACAGACAGGGAAAAGCACAAATTAATTCTGCTCCAGATTCACTTCTCACAGTGCCCTCTGCACAAATCCTAGCAACCTGACTGCTGATACACATCCTGTCTTGTCTTCCCTGTTAGTGTCAGGCATCCAACTTTGGGTCAGGAATAATATTTAGTATTGGGCACACTCTCACTATCCGTCTATGTGTAACCAATTCACTGATTCATTTTTAACAGCATAGTAAACACAAATGAATATAAAAGCTAGGACCTTAAAATAACCTACAACCTAATTACAGAGGACTTACCCCAACTAATTTACCTTTCCACACAGTAGTTTACCTGTTATGCAGCTAACCATCATTTTGTTTTTCTCCTTAAAGCCTCACTAAATTTATAAACTGCTAAACACATACTGCAGAATTATTAAATAATGCTCAAAACAAATTCTGAGAAAAAAATAGTATGAGTGAAACACAACAGTAAGGTATTAAGCAAAACAAGTAAATATTACCAATAGATCACACTGACTTATGACATGATGAGCTAATACCCTTAGGTATCTTAAAATAAATGCACATTTCCAAATTGACTCTCTTCTAATCACCAAAGAAAGACATGTTACTGAGAGTGAGTCAACACACCAAGACAGGTACAGGTCCCCTACGGGTTTCAACAGGAGAGAATAGGACCTTAGCCCACCGTGTCATCCCCGGGTCCCTTTACAAAGCTCCTCTTCCCCTCCTCCAGCCACATCCTTCAGTCTATTAAACAGCTTTCAAACAGCTTCCAAAACAAGAGCCCGATAGGAGCAGGCAACACATGCAGGAGGGAACAACACCGTAAATAAACACAAGGGGAATATGCTAACTCCGCTCATAATCACAGAGATGCAAATCGGAGCACTGGGGAGGCTCACATTATACAACAACTAGATCTGCAAAAATGGGGAAGAGCAGTGTGAATGTGCCTTTAGAGTATAAAACTGACAGCACAGACAGAGCTAGCAACCATGTGAACTTAAACAAACATTCCAACAGCAGACTCAGTCTAACTAAGTGTCCAACTCTTTGGATTATCCCAAAGAAGGGACAATTGGACACCCCACCCCACCCTGCCAACAAGACAATGACTTGGACAGAGCATGACACAGGGCTAAGGATGGCATGAAGAGGAAGTCTTTATTTAATATTTAATGTGTGAACACCACCATGTTGTCAGAACCACATAAACACATGAACTTACCAGTACAAGGCTGCAAGATCAAGGTCAAAAAATGCACAGGGCAGCTGTGATTGGAGGAGGATTCGGGTGCTGCTTCCTTCATTTCACATTTCCTTCAGTGTTACCATGTTGTGTGATTATTTTTTTAGGGTGCCAGAGGCTCCTACCTTGAGAACTTTCACAGCTCTCCTCATCGCTGTTGTCCTGACAATTGTTCTGCCCGTCGCAGATGAAGCTCTTGTCAATGCAGAGGCCGTTCTTGCAGTGGTAGCGAGCAGTGGAGCAGAGCAGGGGGTTTGCTGCTGTGAAAGGAAAACAGAGTGAATCACAGGGAGGCCAGGATGTCCCCCTGGTGACCCCAGGCCCTTCCCCAGCATGCACCCTGCCTAGAAAGCAACAAGCACATGTACTAAGACGAAAGACTCAAAGCTCATCAGGGAGGCTGACCAGCCTGGACAGGACAAATGTTACTCTGGTGTCCTGGAACCACACCAAGGGAGCCAGAAGCAATGCCTCTGTCTAAACCATCAACCTCTAGACTGCCTCCTTGGGGTGAGGGGAAACCTGCATCTCACAGACTCTTTACTGGGGTACCTGATGGTGGAATGGCCACCAGCACAGGAGATACACAGGGAAATGCAAAGCTACAAGGGATACCTGATTGAGTGGTCCATCAGTCTGAGCCACCCAAGGAAGTGATGTGTGATCAGATCGCTCTAGTAGCTATGTGGGATCCTTCTGGCTCCCTGACAATGGACTTGCCCTTTCATTCCTCATTTATTCTCTCTGACTATGGTAAACTCAGCAGTCTCCATTTCTTCTCTGCAACCAAAATGGACCATGGACCCAGTGGACTAGAACTACTTCCTGCTCCAGGCACTGCAGGACCTCAAAAGCAATGACAGATCTGGACCTTCCAGCCAAGGGAAAGGATGGATGATTGCATAGTGAAACCAACACAAAAACACTTCACAAATCTAGTGGAAAATCAGGCCAATTTGCTTCTCCTGCTGTGCCATTCAACAATGTTCATATGAGTTGTTTTCAATACATTAAATAATCAGGTAGGAGTGGCTCCAATCCAAACTGTGCCATTTTGCAATCTTGCATGAATTAACTTGTCACTCTGAGCCTTAGCTGCTTTATCTACGGACTGTACCAATGACACAATTTGCCAGGTCCAGTACAAACTGATAATGTACCTTGAAAGCAGCCAAGGTGGCAAAGGGCAGGGCTCAAAACCAAGCATGGTGCCCTTCAAAGTGAAATATTTATCTTAGATGACTGTAGACAGTTACACACCACATCATTAATCTGAGCATCGGACGAGACGACAGTGCCAATTCCGACACACGACAGGGACTCAAGGATGTGCTCCACCTGCTTCCCTACTTCTGTGTGTCTCAGACCCATATGATGTGCCCTCCCATAAGGATTGATGCTGTAATGATGCAAAGAGGTCATCTTTAACCTTGAGCAATGAACTAAGCCAGTACTTGCATTGCATGTGGGGAGTACAGCACCATGGTCGAGGCTAGGCCCAGCACAGTAGATTGCCATGGGATTAGGTGCAAATTGACCCAACTTATCTTGTCTGTAAAACTCCACTGAGCTATTAATATGCACAGGAATCAGGGCTATGAAGACTTGTAACACGTCCCAGGGCTATGTAAACTCAAAGACTTTTTCTTTTCTTATTAACACAGTTTAACTCAGAAAGGTTGATTTGAAACTTACAAAAGTAGAAAGAGACATATAAAGTCGGTGCTCTGTTTTAAGGATGATGAACCAGTCTAAAGTCAAACAAAAGTAATTTAGCCTGAAAATGGAAGTTTTAATTTAAAGTTCTGTGGGCCAGAGAATATTGCAACTTGATTAAAGAGAAACCAAGGTCTAACTTCAGCCAAAACCAACATGGGGATATCTAAAACCACAATCAGGATGGACTGTTGTCCAAGGCAGCCCTCCAAACTCTATGTCCATCAGCATTCCACAGCGGAGGCCTTCAGCATCCCTCAGACTTTGTGGATCACATTTATATGCCTCTGAAGCGTCAGTAACAATCAGCTCACTCGAACACAGAGTCTTGGAAAAGCATTCTAATTGTTCCAATATGGGGCAGACGTGTAAGCTTATGTAAGCATCCTAGTGGAGAAAGCCAAGCTGAATTGCCCTTGCTGGGACTACTGTCATATATTCACTTTTTATCCAACTGCAAACTCTTACAGCCTCACAAATCTTCCCAAGGAAAAGTCATATGTGTATATGCCTGAGTCCATATATACTACATTTACTCATTCATGCATGTATGTACGTTTAGAAATCACAGCACAGGATGGTTCTAATGCATAGAATCAAAATGATCCAGAACCAGAACATGTAAAGAACTTTTGCAAATCAAAATGATAATTCAGTAGAAAAGCTTACAAAGGATGTAATCAGGCAATTCATTTTAAAGGAATGGTTGTCAGTAAAAATGTGAAAAAACTGTGTCATCACTGAAAATGAAGTGCCATTTCACATGCAACTGCCAAACATATGGTCTCAAATATCAGGCTGGTGATTGGCATTGCAGCACGATGGGTAAAGCCAACACCAGGGATACCAGCATCCCATATCGCAGCTTGTTGGTGTCGTTCTATTCTACTTCCAATCCAGCTCCCTGTTAATGTACCTGGCAAAGCAGTGGCAGGTGGTACAAGTATCTGGGCTCCTGCATCCAGGTAACAGATTTGGATGATTCTGGCTCTTGGTTTTGGTCTAGTCTTATTGTAGCCATGGATGATCTCTCATCTCTCTCTCTCTCTCTCAATCTCTCTTTCCCCCTCCCTCCACCGCCCTGTGTGTGGTCCATCTGTTCTCTGTCTCCCCCTTTCTCCCTTCAACTCTGACTTTCAAATAGAAAATCTTTTAAAAATAAAGTATTAGGCTATTGGTAAAGTCCTAGAGGAAGGCTAAGTCTTACACAATCCAAGTGGGAATGCAAATTTGCAGGTCTGCTTAAGATCCCAATTTAATGAAATCTAGTGAAGTTTAAGGTGACCATCACCTACAGTCTAGCAATTTCACTTTCTGCCATATCCTCCAGTGACACTAAATTAAAATGTTCAGTGAAACCACTATCAGTCAAATAAAAAAAGATAAAGAAAACTTAAAAAATGAGAAATAAGGTAGGCACTTGGCACAGTGGTTGAGATGCCTGGAGCTGCCCCCAAGTCCAGCTTCCTGCTAATGTGCACCCTGGCTGGCAGTGGAGAATGGCCCAAGCACTTGGGTCCCTGTCATCCACATAGGAGATCTGGGTTGCATTCTAGGGTCCTAGTTTTGGCCTGTCCCCAGTCCTAGCTCTTTGGGGCATCTGGATATGGGAGCTATCTTTCTGTCTGTGTCTCCTAAATAAATCTTTTAAATGAACAAATAAATAGTATTTTAAAACATCAGAAATAAACCAAAGGTTCACCTATGAGAAAACAGATACAAGGTGCTATACTGTCACAGTGGAATTCTCTAAGAGTACCCAAAAGGTTGGCTAACTTTTTCTGCAATGAGCCAGATTTTGCCAGCCATCTGATCGCTACCCGTTATAATGATTTAGTATCGTCACTGTAATGCACAACAGTCACAGACAACTCATCAATGAAGGATGTGGTTATGTTATAGTAAAACTGTATTTATAAAACTAGGCCAATTATGGCTCATAGGTCATTGGGTATCACCCACTGCTGTGTGGTAGTGAAAAATGAATGGGCTGGTGTCAAGATATGCAGATTTCACAAATATAAGAGTGAGTGAGGTATTTATCTATATTCGTCTATACAAAGCTCCCCATGTTAAAAAAAATCACTGCTTATTACTGAAGGATACGAAGATTCATACTGAAAGTATGAAAACTTCCAGGGAACAAATGATCTCAGGTTCAGGACTGTGGACTCTGCTGGGGAGGAGTTGCAGGGTAGAAACTGAAGGGTATACAGAATCTTCTAATTATATGATGACATTTAGTTATTTTAAAAGCTGAAGCAAGTAAGGCAATATGGCAATACATATGTATTTTTTTAAACCAGAGTGTTGGGAATGCAGGTGCTCATTTTATTTGACTTTTTCTGTTCAGTATGTCTGAGAGAGTTCAAGACAAGACTTGGGGTCTAGGCTGGCAGAGGTGTTCCAGTGAGTGCTCCCCTTTCTGCTCCTTTGCTCTCTACCACAGATTCTCTGTGGCCCCCATACTGCAGTGGGTAATCACTGATTGACAAAGGAACATTTTGAATTTCTCATCACTGAGATAAATGTCAGAGGTGATGATATGCTAATTATCCTACCTGACTGGACCTTTACACAGGGTTTACATGCCTTGAAATAATCATTCTGTAAGCTGGACTTCTGGATGCAGAGGTTGAGACAAGGCTTGAGTCATCCATATCCCATTTAACAGTGCCTGGGATGAGGTCCCAGGTCCCCTCCAAATTCCACCTGCCTGCTGACATGCACCCTGGCAGGCAGCGGTGATGACTCAAGTACATGCGTCCCTGCCACTCATATGAGAGACTCAGATGCAGTTTCAGGTTCCTGACTTTGGCCTTACCCAGTCTTGGCATTTGGGAAAAGAAGCAACAGATGCGACATCTGTCTCTAGCTGTCTATCTCTTTCTCTGTGCCTTTCAACAAAATCAATTTTCTGAAAATATCATGGCTTTCTTCATCAATATGTCCAGTTATTGCATTTCAATTAAAATTAAAGCTAGAAAAAGACACCTGTTTTTTTTTTTTTTGGTGTCTTTCATACTCAGGAACACAGTAGCTCTAAGACACAAAACACACACATGGAAACAGCTCCATGTGGGACTGCTCCTTGTCAATGACTCCTTATATAAAATATCACACGGGATGCAAGAGCAGAAGGAGAAATGGTAGATGAGCATCCCAAACTCAGCAGCAAATATAAAAGGGTTCTCCCCAACCCCTGAGCCGCCAAGCACGTGTCCCAGTGCTCATGGCTGGAAAGAGTCAGGAGTTCTTGGGTAGGCCCTCGTGACTATGTTTCTCATCTACGTCCACTCCAGTGAGCTTTGTCTTAGAGCATCCATGGAGAAAGCAGATTAGAAATGAGAAGGGAGACTGCCTACCACACTGGGAAGGAACTGGCAGCTAGAATGAAAAGCTTAGAAACAGCTATGGGCAGGAACATAAGAGCTATAAAAAGCAACCTCAAGAGCTCCAACAGCACAGGGACCAAACAGGGTTTAAAAGGAGTCTAGAAAGTTCTACAGAGGAGCCAAAGGCAACTGATGTATGACAACCTATT